CTGGTGTTTTGAGCGAACACATCAGTTTGTGTCAACTCTGTAATAATTACATCAACTCTAAAACTGAGTCAGCTCTGTATGATTTTTCCATTTCCAATGATTGTTGTTTGTATGAAAAGCAATCCAGTGGTGCTTGTGGAGAAAAGAATGAAATGAGCAGCTGTTGACCAATGTGTTCACAGTGTGTGCCTCAATGTGTCCACAAGCCCTCATATTCTTCTGGGAGGCTTTCACACCCCTCAATCTGATAACTATGTCACCACTCCCTTTCTCTCATCACTGAACTATTTCCGTCATAGTCTTTTAAAATGGCCACATAAATGTTTCATTTAACAATCTTCATTTATTTCCTTTCACCGCCACCAAACTTTTAGCTGGAAATATAGGTGTGCATCCTTCCTTGGATTCATGCCTTAACATGGTGAAAGGGTTTGAGGGTGTCAGTGAAGCTGAAAGTTTCTGCTGATGTGGAAAAGGCCACATCAGCAGAAGAGAATCGGTCCTTCCAGTGATGATGGGGGTGGCAGCTACTCGGCAGCAGGAGTAGCTGAAGGTGACCCTTGAAGAGGGTGGAGGAATCTCAGTCTGGTGTCTCAGCTGTCATCAATTTCATCTTGGGTGATCTTCCTAGGAGGTCAGGCCAGGAGTGCAAGTGAAGCCTGAACTATCTCTGGAGGCAAAAACATTGACCCTGAGGCTGTCCTACTTTGGACACATCATGAGAAGGCTGGGACCTCTTGAAAAGACAATAATGCTGGGAAAGGTGGAAGGCAGCAGGAAAAGAGGAAGACCAAATACAGACACTCCTCACTTAACGACCTGCCTGTTTAACGACCGATCAGACTTATGGCTGTCTCAAGTGTTCAGAAACGTGTGCTTGCATCTTCACCACACTCCTTAATGGTACATGACTTTTTACTCCTGTATACAGTATTATTGCTCCTCGCTTATCGACCAGTTCGCTTAATGACCTAGTCATAGGAACAGAACTTGGTCATTAAGTGAAGAATGCTTGTACAAGATGTGTTGACTCCCTAAAAGAAGCCAGTCTTGAGTTCCACTCACTATGCACTGACATTTTGTGAATATCTCTAGTATCAGCTACAACCTGTTACGATTTCTGTGATAAAAAAAAAAGATGGATAACAGTAATTATAAGCCGATGTCTGTAAAATTCCCACCTAAATTAAACCAGCTTGTTTAAACTTTGATTGAAAAATTCTTAAGTTTGGAGAAATAAGTTCCTTAAAGGTATATATTTTGGTAAATTAATCCAAGGAATACAGCATGTCCAGTAAGCAAATACTTTAATAATCCCAGATAAGTGGCAGTGGGGCTCATTGTTTATTTTCAACTTTTCCAGTAAAAATAACTTAGGTTTCATAAAATATTTTCTGATTTTTTTTTACATTACACAAAAATTCTAACAAAGGAACATGAAACACAAAGAACAAGATGACAGGCAGAAACACTGTCTGCTTGTTAAGATACAGCAATCAAGACATTCCAGCTTCCAGAAAGGATGACTCATTATTTTAATGAAAAACACAGACTTTCTTGCACTTACATCCACATTGTAAGGTTGTTTACTTGGGAGCAGGTTCTACTGACTTTAATTAAACAGGTGTCTAAATACAGAGATTAAAGAAGAAATATGGCTTGCATGCCTTTCTTTAATTCCCATTTCCCCTCAAGAGGGAGGATTCATATTCATATGACCAAGAAATTTAGGACAAGGCAGTATAAAACTCTAATTTTGGTATCATCATGTTTTTATATACTGTGCTTAAAACTGGCCACAGGTGTAAATGCAGAAGCTACAGCTGGATAATACCTTTACTGGACCACTGGGAGGAGTGTTGCTTTTGCCGATGTTCAGAAGGCCCTTTTCAAAGTATGTCCATCAGCCAATGTTAAAAATAATTTGCAGCCACAGGTGGAGTGAGATAAAAAGGGTCGCCGACCAGTGGTTTGTCAAGAGGCCAAAACAAATCACAATTTTACAGTGAAAAGTGACCCACCCCTTGCTAGGGGGAGCTACACTATTTTGAACAAAATTGTATCAAGATCCTAGAAATATCAGCTTTTCTTGAGGGGGAAAAATACATAATGCCCCACAAAAATGAGCAACAGGTCTAAGAATAGGTCCTGATGGAAGATGGGTCATCAGGCCTTGGTGGTTAAGTCTTCTGAGTGGGACAGAGTCCATTTTCAACTCCTAAAGTGATTTTATTTGACAAAAGTGGAAGTATTTTTTGCTACAAGACAATGGCTGACCAAAAATAATAATAATAATAATAATTCAAACCAGCTGGGGGGGGGGAGAGGGAGTTCACTCTGGATGTCAAGGAACAATGATTATTGATTATAGTACATCAGATGGAGAACAAACACTACAAAAAGATCTCAGCTGGAAGATAGATATTTTTAAAAACATACCTTAGGCCAGTAAGGTAAAATGCCCCAGTTCAATCCCTTCATTTTCAATTTCCTACACTTATGAGAGACAAAACATAGGAGAAATATAGGGCCACACCACAGACTGTACTGTTTGAAAAATCAGGCTTCAGAAAAAGGTACGCTTAGCTCCCAAAGACCAATCAGAAAACGGAGGAAGCTCATTGCAAGATATGGGCAGTGAGAAAAGCTCCTCAAGGTACAAATATATGCTACCTGCAGTTGAAAAAATTCAACTCAGGTCCCAGACAATGGGGCCCGAAAGTCCCACAGAGATGTGCTCTCTTAGTGCCCACATGCTGCTGAGTGCCGCTCCTGGCCACCCTTCTCCTTTAGAGCTCTACACAAGTCCTGGCATTCAAGGATGCTGGGTGTATAATTGGTTGTGGTGACATTTTCACTGACCCCAAGTTCCCCTTCTCAGATCCTGTCACCTAGAATCCTTCTCATGGATTCTATTTTTCATCTCTTTCTACTCTTTGACTTCCTTTTTTTGATCCTCACACATGGCACTGAATAAGAAAGAAACATCACCGCTGGTACTATTAGCTATCCTTTATATGGAAGTGTGGATCCTTTACATGGAAGTGTGGAAGCTTCTGATGGCATACCAGGCACTGTAAATGCCATTCGATATAGTATGGTAACCAGAAACCTTAGGTGCATGAACTGACGATCACAGAAACAAGACTAAGCTCTGTCTTTGGGAACTCATGAAACGTATGGCCCAAAGTGGCTTATGTGCATGAATGCCGTTGCTGATGGTAGACAAGTCCTCTAAGCCAGTGGTTCTTAACCTTTGTTACTCAGATGCTTTTGAACTGCAACTCCCAGAAACCCCAGCCAGCACAGCTGGTGGTGAAGGCTTCTGGGAGTTGCAGTCCAAAACTCATGAGTAACCCAAGGTTAAGAACCAGTGCTCTAAGCTGTATGAATTACCTTCTTAACCTAACGAAACCTTAGAAGGAACACAGGTGCAAGCTGGAAAAAGTTATATTTTTGAATCACAATTCCTGTAGTCACTGGCTGGGGGATTCTGAGATACGTAGTCCAAAAAAGCAACTTTCCCAACAGTATATCCTCTCCAGGGATTTCTCTTCCAAATGAAGTTTTCTTTTTGTATATATCTGCTTCATATATAGATATATGTCCTCTCTGAGAATTTTCAGTAGTTACTTCACCCAGTTCCCTTGGAAGAGGCAAACATATGACACTGGGGCGTGGGGGGCAGGACTGATCCCTGAGCTTAAAACCTGCCTCTATCACATACTTTTCTGTATAGCATTTGGCAACCAGCAACATCCCGACCAGATGAATCATTAGTCATATGCAATCCAGCTACAAGGAATATGGAGATGTTTTGCATTTCCATCTGTGGCTGAGTTCAATTTTTACAAGCAATCAGTAGCAGCAGTTCATTCATCAGTGCTGTGTTAAAACCGAACAGATGAAAACATGGTTGTTGTGGGTTTTTCTGGATCTTTGACCGTATTCTGAAAGTTGTTCTTCATAACATTTCGCCAGTCTGTGGCCGGCATCTTCAGAGGACAGGAGTCAGAACTCTGTCTGTGCTCTGGTGCAGTTTGTTTGGATAGTTGAGTATTTATAGCTGTGGGAATCAGCTTTTGTCCTTTTCAGGAGATGGGTGATTGTGGTGAACAGCATGTTTTTTGTTGTGAGTGTATTGTTGTGATAAGGAGGAGAGGTTATTTGTCACTGTGATTGATGGGTGTCGTTAGCTGGACTTTTGTGTGCAGTGATCACCCGTCCTTGTAGCTGGGTAGTTTGTTGACCTTTTGCAGACTGTATTATTTCAGTGCTAGGAGCCAGGCTTTGTTGAGTTTTAAACTTTCTTCTTTTTTGTTGAAGCTCTGCTGGTGTTTGTGGATGTCAATGGCTTCCCTGTGCAGCCTAACATAATGATTGCTGGTGTTGTCCAGTACTTCAGTATTTTGAAACAGAATTTCATGTCCAGCTTGTTTTAGGGCATGTTCAGTTACTATCGATTTTTCTGGTGTTTTAGTCTGCAGTGTCTCTCATGTTCTTTTATTCTGGTGTGGGTGCTGTGTTTTGTGGTTCCAGTATATATCTGGCCACAACTGCAAGGTATTTGGTATACTCTTGCAGTGGTGAGGGGGTCCCTTTTGTCCTTTGCTGACCATAACATTTATTGTATTTTTGTGGTAGGCATGAATACTGTTTGTAGGTTGTGTTTTTTCAAAAGTTTCCCCGTGCGGTCAATGAACAACCTTCAGAACATGGCCAAAGAGCCCAAAAAACCCACAACAACCATCACATCCCTGCCATGAAAGCCTTCGAGAATACAGATGAAAACATATTTCTTTCTTACCCCCAAATGACAATGATGGATTCACAATAGTTTGGCAAACCTGATACAAAATCTAACGCACAAAGATTTAACAACAAATAATTCAGCATATAACAGTAGTGATTGGGACTCTCTTAAAAAGACAGCTAACATCATTCTCCAGGGAAGACAATAAACACAGGCGGATTTGCTGGTCCATTGTTTTTTTTTTTTAAAAAAAAATCAAACAGCAACAGCAGCATAATACCTTTATTAATCCCAACAGAAAAGGCAAAAATAAGCAAGCAAGCATTTTATATTTACCAGAATATTCCTTCAAGATGGATATTAGTTTTAAAATGTTAGAGTTTGATGGTTAATTTTTAAGGAGGAAAGGGAAGCTTTCTGTAGACATGATGGAAGAAAATCACCAGATTTACACAATGCACTTTCATAACTAACAACATATTTTCGACTCATCCCCTTTTTTTCTTACTATTCATTCATCTTGGAAAGAACACCCCAATAACACACTTCAAAAGCTTTCTCTTACGTTGGGTGTTTTAAATAAGGCAGGTATTATGCTACTGTTTTGTAAAAAAACAACAGTTTTCATTGTTTCAGAGTACAAAATCATTCTGTTAGATAATTTTATATCTACCTATATATTTATATTTATGTACACGGTCGGGGAAAATATAGCTTACAGCAGTTAAAAACCAAGATCTGGACCTTGGAACTAAAGCTTTTCTGGTATTTTTACCGACAGATATCCCAGCTTTTGGCATCTTAAATGACATCAGGTTCTATTTCATGATTCTTTTCTGTCGACTGTTGATGAACCTCTTATCAGAGTTGGTACCCAGGGGTAATGAGTCTATTTTTGAAATGAAATTAGATCTTCAAGATATCTTGGGGAACTTCACATACTGGACTGTAAATATGAGAATTTTGTATCTTTTAAACTCACCCCCCCAAAAAAAGCAAAGAATGAAATCTACAGAAGTAAACAGCATCAGTGTTCTTAACGAATGTCTGTTTTGCTTCATCTGCTAAGCTTCAGGCCTCCTGATTCTTTTCAAAGGCCATTGACAACATTGTATGAAACTTTGTAAAAGCATCTTGATTCTGTGTTCAGGGACATCATCCATTTTCTCAAGTCTTTCATGTGTGTTTATTTTAAAAAATTTTGCTCTTAAAATCACCTAGTATTTTGTGAAACTCATTTCAAAATCTGAAAAGTACTACATTCCCACTTGTAATGGTCTTTTCTTTTTCTACCATTCCTTTAAGTACCCAAAAACCTGTTACCCAGATCAAAGGTGGGCAATTGAATTTATGAGAAGTCTTGTTGCTCTCAGCATGAAGTTTTCAAAACCAAAATTGGATTTAAACAGTGCAGTCATGAACAAGGTACCAGATAATAGCTCTTCAAATATTTTCCAGTGATCATAGTATTTTCCTTCTTTCTTTGTTTTGAAAAGCATCTCTCTAAAACAGAGAAAACCTTTCCCAATACAATCAGCTTTTAAAATAATTCTTATAGACTAAAGACCTATAATGTATTTTTACAAGGGTGTGTACCTTTTATTTACTAAATGCAAAAATACAATTTTTCTAAAAGTTTTCTACTAGAATGAATTAAACTGATTTTTATTTTATTTTAAAGCACCTCCAGGTACTTCTTAATTTTTTATATATATTAATCCATGGAGATATATATATAGATATAGATATTTATATATAAATCTATCATGTGTCAACCATCTTCAGTGATGCAGAGACATCTACTAGGAGAATAGTGGAATTAAAGCCCTTTCTCTCCAGTGTGCTTCAACGTGCTCTGACTGGTATGATCACATAATTCACTGACACAATACTGAAGTAGAACACAAGCCTTCTTCAGTCTATTTAAGACTAATTAACTCTTCAGGAGGAGATGCTTGGCAGACTTAATCACAGGCTAAGACATCATTTCCAAGACCGCACAACAGGTATCTCAGGTGGGAAAACTGTATACCTTGGGTCAAGTTTAGGTATGAAATCCTTGAAATGCATAGATGCTTCTGTACCAAATACATCCAAGGCTTTCCTGTTCATTAGAGCAAATCTGGAAAGATAAGATTTTAGATTAAATTAATGCATTCCTACAAAGTGGGAAAACAGGATAGGAATTATGAGTACCATAAATTCCGCTGAAAAGTGATTATAAAATTCTTTCCGAGAAGAATAACCAAAAGTTGTGTGTACGCAGAGGGGGGGGGGAGGGAGTTCATTGAAGATCTTTATTGAAGACTTCAAAAAATTTAGGACTACTGCATTTTGGACATATCATTAAGGGAGCGAAAAAAAGACACCTTAAAAAGACAATAAACATTGAAGGTTGTAGGAAAAGATAATCAATCATGAGACAGACTGACCCAATAAAGACACAGCCTTGAGTTTGCAAAACCTAAGCAGAACTGTTACCGGCAATAATTTCTGGGAGTCATTAATTCATGGACTTATTATAAGTTCAAATGACCTGGCAGCACATAACTATGACATAAAAGCTTGTGAGTTCCTAAAGAAGTTTAATCTTATGTCCAAACTGGTTCAAATTATCTTTCTCAGGGCAGTTATGTGAATGTAGAGAGTTTTCAAACCTAGTAACTTCAAAATGTGTTACTCTCATCTGCCAATAATAACAATCATCACATGCTATCATGTAGATTCAAACATGATAACCCTTTCCAGGGTTTTCTAGGTGCAGTCATGGCCAAGAATATTACCACTCTTGTAATTGTATCAGAAAATGCAACCCTTCTCTCAGAAAATTGTTGCAGTTGCAAATGTTTTGGTACTCACATGTTCATTTCTTTCGTTTGCGTTGGAACAACAACAACAAAAAACAGAGAAGAAGAGTCAAATCTGATACAATCCCACACAGAAACCCAAAAATGCACTGGCCAAAGTTATGGGCACCCTTAACTTAATATTTGGAAGCACCCCCTTTGGAAAAAAATAACTGAAATCAATCGTTTCCTATAACCATGAATGAGTTTCTTACACCTCTCTACTGGAATTTTGGACCACTCTTCTTTTGCAAACTGCTCCAGGGCCTTCAGATATGAAGGATGCCTTCTCCCAAATGCTGTTTTGAGATCTCTCCACAGGTCTTCTGTGGGATTCAGATCTGGATTCATGGCTGGCCATTTCAGAACTCTCCAGCACTTTGTTTGTAACCATTTCTGAGTGCTTTTTGAACTGTGTTTCAGATCACTGTCCTGCTGGAAGATCCATGACCTCTGGTGGAGATGCAGCTTTCTGACACTGGCCACTACATTGTGCCCCAAAATTATTTGGTAATCATCAGATTTCATGATACCAGTCAAGGCATACAGTGCCAGAAGTAGCAAAGCAACCCCAAAACATCTTTGAACCTCCACCATGTTTGACTGTAGGGACTGTGTTCTTTGCTTTTTTTTTAATGCTTTATTTCTTTTTCTGCAAAAAGTGCCATGATGTCCTTTACCAAAAAGCTCTTCTTTTGTCTCTTCTGTCCACAGTACGTTCTCCCAGAAGGATTGTGGTTTTGTCACGTACGTTTTGGCATATGCCAGTCTTGCTTTTTTATGCCTTTGTGTCAGCAGTGGTGTCCTCCTGGGTCTCCTACCATAGCGTCCCTTTTCATTCAGATGAAACAGCTGACGCTGTTGTACCCTGTGCCTGCAAATCAGCTTGAATGTGTTGGGAAGTTCATCTGGGTTCTGTATGCACCATTCGGACAACCCTTTGTTGTAATTTTTCAGTAATATTACTCTTCCATCCACGTCCAGGGAGGTTGGTTACAGTGCCATGGGCTGTAAACCTGTTGATGATATTGTGCACAGTGGACACAGGAACATTAAGATCTCTGGACTTGTAGCCTTGAGACTGTCAATGTTTTTCCACAATTTTTTCTCTCAAATCCAGACAACTCTTTACACTTTATTGTTTTCTCCATACTCAGTGTCACACACAACACAAAGGGTAAGTCAACTTTTCTCCATCTTAACTGGTTGCAAGTGTGATTACTATACTGCCCACATCTCTTACTTGTGACAGGTATGTCTAAATATAAATTAAAGCATCACATGTTTGAAAAGCAATTATTCCTTACAATTTAGACAGGGTGCCAATAATTTTGGCCAGTGCATTTTTGGGTTTCTGTGTAGGATTGTATCAGATTTTACTTTCCTTCTCTCTCTCTCTCTCTCTCTCTCTCTCTCTCTCTGTGTGTGTGTGTGTGTTGTTCCAATGCAAACCAAAGAAATGAACATGTGAATGCCAAAACATTTGCAACTGTCCTCTGAAGATGCCCGGTCTGTGGCCGGCATCTTCAGAGGACAGGAGTCAGATCTCTTTCTGTGCTCTGTTGCAGTTTGTTGGATAATCTCTGACTCCTGTCCTCTGAAGATGTTGGCCACAGAGACTGGCGAAACTTTAGGAGGAAAAACCTTAAGAACACAGCCCAACAGCCCGGAAAACCACAACAACCATCGGATCCTGGCCATGAAAGCCTTCAAGAATACAAAGAAAAAGGTGTTGATGCATTTTCCACGAAAACGCAACACTCCTGTACATCTGACGTACAGTCTCATCGTCTAACACACAATTCATTCACACCAGTCTTTTTCATACATAAGAGCAATGCACCTTCCTTGGAGAAGTGAAATCGCCACATAGCTATAAGTACCGTCGGTTACTCACCTTCCCTTTGTGAGCCGTAACAGGAATTTCCAGTATGAAGGTCTCAAGTTCTGAATTTCCATCACAGCCTACAAAATAAAACAATTGAATTTAACTTAAAAGAGGGTGAGTAAAGGCTATATTCTATAATGGACAGAACATCTGACTTGACTTGGACTTCTCTGTTTCTTCCACTACCTCTTTTTTTTTTTTGTAACATCTACTCTAAGAAATAATTCTAGAGAAGCTGAATGGTTGCATACGCACATTTTTGTTGGTCCAAATAAACTAAGGGAAAAATCACTGACTAAAGATCAAGGAATGGCCACCAGATTCCTACTGGTTTTAGCAGGTTTGTGCCAGCTGCTGCATCTAATTGCCAGAATGTTGGACACATCTCTGGTTACATACTTGTCTGTGCAAAAGAGACGTGCCCCATCAGATTGTCAATTAGCCACACTTAGACAGAGTAAGTTACATAAACTTCACCCAATAGGATTTATTTATTATTTATTTAAAATATGGATATGCCGTTTTGCTCTCAGAGGTTCTAAGGTGGCTTACAGCATTTAAAAGAAACAAAATTAAAAGCCAAATAACAGATTATTACATTATTTTAAAAAGCACTAAATAAAAAGCCAAATAACAGATTATTACATTATTTAAAAAGCACTAAATAATGAAGAAAAAAGTCTTTGCCTCCTTGTGGAAAGACAGCAAGGATGGGCCCAGCCTGGCCTCTTGTGGGAGGGAGTTCCAGAGTCTAGGAGCAGCACCAGAGAAGGCTCTCTCTCCAGCCAATAGGTCTGTACAGTGGTGCCTCGCTTGACGACGTTAATCCGTTCCAGCAAAATTGCTGTAGAGCAAAATCGTTGTCAAGCGGGGGAAAACCCATTGAAACGCATTGAAAACCAGTTCAATGCATTCCAATGGGCTAAATACCTAATCGTCCAGTGAAGATCCTCCATAGGGTGGCCATTTTCCGGTGCCTGTACAGCGAAGAATCCATCCTAAAAACAGCAGGGAGCCATTTTGCACAGTGGGCGGCCATTTTGAGAGCTGCCAATCAGCTGTTTTAAAACCACTGTTAAGCGAAGAATCGGTTCCGGAAGCAGGGAACCGATCATCATTAAGCGAATTTTTCCCATTAAAACATCGTTTTGCGGGCGCCAAGCAGATTCAGCATTTAACGAGGTAATTGTTAAGCGAGGTACCACTGTATTCTGGTTCTAAATAGTTTCACCTGTATGTCAATTACAGAATCCTACAAAATAGCTACACCCAGAATTCTGATACAAGGCACCACTTGAACAAGCACCAGATGATGACATGGGAAATCTACAAGTACAGGCTAGTTAATATGGAAAAGCCAACTTGCTGGACAGCAGCAGCAATTTTTCAACCTGCAAATGCTCCTTTGAATAGCTCAGTGGCTTAGATCTCTGGCTGCAGAGCCAGAGGTTGGGTATTCTATTCCCCACTGTGCCTCCTTGACAGGGGCCGGACTCACTGATCCATAGGGTCCCTTTCAGCTCTGCAGTTCTCTTATGTGCACTTTTTATGATCAATTCTTTGTGGAAGCAATGTCCATTTTGTGGTGTTAAGACACGCTCTCTATGTCTTGTAGAAAGATCTACCAGTTGTTCTCCTTTAGCACTGCAAAAGCACTAGCTAACACATTAATGGAAAATACAGCAATCAAGCAATGCACTGCACGTATGAGTCAAACTGCCTCTTTTCCAACCAATGTTTCTATATCACTGTCATCAATCAGTGTAATCAGTTCTTCAAAAAAAATCTCTAATTTATGAATCTGGGATATGCTTTTGTGTTCATGATTCAGCCAGGCACTGCTTTGCAGAATCATGCCCAGAGCTGTCACATGTCAAAACAGAAGTCATAGATAGAAATTCTAAGTAAAAATTACTGGAAAGCAGAGAGAACAACTGTCATGGAACTCTTCTGCACATGTCCAGATTTCAAAGAATTAGCTTTTTTTGCTTTTAAAATACAGATTTTTACGGCCATGATTTATTTCCTATTTAACAACCCAAATGTAGGTCTTTGGAAGATATTCAGAAAGTAGTGGTCTCATGGAACAAAATGGTCACCGAGATACATTCACCTCTCTCTCTGTGTAGGTGTGTACGTGTGTGTGTGTGTGTGTGCATTGCATGCGCAAGCATGTGTGCAAACAGCAATTGCAGGCCTCTCATGGAACAAAATGGTCACCGAGATACGTTCACCTCTCTGTGTGTGTAGGTGTGTAGGTGTGCATTGTATGCGCAAGCATGTGTGCATACAGCAATTGCAAGCAAGTCAAATCTAGTCCCTTTTCAGTGACAACCAGTGGAAAACTCTGATTAACTTTGCTGCACAGTACAGTGGCGCCTTGAGTTCCAAACTTCATTCTGGGATGACGGTCGTAACTCAAGTTGGTTGTAACTCAAAGCACCATTCCCACAGGAATACAATGAAATGCGATTAATCGGTTCCAGACGGTTTTTTGGTCGTATCTCAAATTGGTCGCAAGTCAAGACGTTCGTAAGTTGAGGCACCAGAGTATCATGGTCGTGTTATGTGCCGTTACAACTGCTTCACCTGATGATCCAATACTTACTGCCTGGAAGCAGATGGCTGTAGATATGGCATAGATGACACTATCTGCATGAGGGAAATAGGGAACCTTTCCAGCTTCAATGCCTTTGAAATACATGGCCTACAAAATAAGCATCAAACAAAACACCGAATGAGTAAAAGTTTCTAAAGAGGCAAGAGGAGCAATGCTACCAGCAGGTCAACTGCCTAGCCTAGCCATCCTTGGAGAGGAGTCACCAAAGTCTGGAAGCAACTTGTTACAAATAATCACTTAATTGTAGTTCATTCCTTTCTCTAACCTATGGCTTTTTCCATTCCGTTTAGCGATGTTTCCTCATAGCGACGATTAATCCGGAACGGATTAACGTCGCTATGCGGGGCACCACTGTAATCACTTAATTGTAGTTCATTGCTTTCTCTAAGAGCAAAGGTTTAAATATGTTACATTAAACTGTAACTTTGTGAGTCATGCTAATCCTTCTGTAAGGTAACTGGAATCTCTTATTTTCATAGCTATAGTACTTTTCTGAGCTGTGGCATTTCATCCATCCTTGTTTCTCTCGCTGACCACCTCCTTATTTTGCCATCAACCTTCAAACTCACATTTACCAGGTATTATGAAGCGGTCCAAATATTTAGGAAGGTACAGTATACATGTAACTGATCACCCCTGTGTATGGCTGGGAGAAAAGGTCTACACTAGCTTTCCCCAGAGAATGCTAACTATGTCTCTTTGCATGAAACTACATCAACTGTGTGTTGGTTTAAGGTTTACAAATAATACCTCTGAATCAAAGCCAGGACAGAAGGACTTTTATTTACAACATTTCTTTTGCACTCCCATTTCTGCAAGTGAAAATATTTGCCTCGCTGGCCTTGTCTCGCACACGGCAGGATTCACTGGCAGGAAGCATTTTTTGGGGGGTCCAAGCTCTAGAACAGCTCTCCTACATTCATTTTTCCTGTGCAGTGCTGATGTGTGTGGTTCTTCTTCACACTAGTAACTTTTCAAATAAAGTTGTAGCTCTCTATAAAACTCAACTGTTTCCTCTTTTGGGTTGTTCCTTTTTTTTCTTTGAGAAAACATTACAAGTTTATTTTCATCCATACATTTTTGCCCCTTAATAAACAACATCTTGGCTGCTGATACAGGGCAAATCATGCAGATCCGTCATTTCACCGTCACTAGGATGCCCAGGGGTAAACTCTTAGAGAGAACCACCACCACCAAGAGCAGAACCAACACCAGCGACAGCTCAGTTTATTATTATTGCTATTGTTATTGTTACATAGCAAATCTGATGGCAGTGCAAATCTAGCTGCTTTGAAGAAAGTGAAAAATGCAGAACCTAACACAGGCTAGTATATATTGTATTTTCAAGCTAAGCCTACTTGGTTTCACTTGTGACCAATTCTTTTGAAGGGGAGGAAAACTAGTATGGGGGGCTAACATTTGAGTCTGGCTTGCTCCCTTGTTTCTGCATTTCTCCAGGGTAGCTGAGACCATTTCAGTAACAAACGAAGCAGGCAAACTCTATTTGAATGGAGACGGCTGTGCTCAAAGGACCATACCATCCTGAACAAAATGGGTTTCGCCTGATTTTGGAAGCCAAGCAGGGTCAGGTCTGGTTAGCACCTTGGTGGAAGACCACCAGGAAATACTAGGGATCTCTAGGAAGGCCAAGGAAAGAAGCCTGTATGAAATGATGGAAAGCCACTGCCAGCCAGAGTTGGCAATACTGGGCTAAACAGGCCAGCTGTCTGACTCAACACAGAGCAGCTTCTATGTGACCGGCAGCCCTCTCAGATTGGGTGGAGTCACAAGAATTTGAAGCAGGGCATATGCAGGTACAATACTGACATCTGATTTCTGAAGCACCGTGAGATGCAAGGAAAGTTACTGTATTTGAGGAAAGGTTCCGTTTCTTGTAACTCACATGTTCAGAAACGGCGGCCATATTCAGTCAGTCTGCAATCTGGATTCACCGGCCTGCTTGCTAAGGAGAAGCCAGCCCTGCCCTGCTCCCTTGTTGCTTTACTCATGCAACGAGGCTCAAGAGGAAAAGAGTCCAGCTCATACACAGGTTCTATGTGTGAAAAAAATGGAATCTGAGAAAACCGGGTTCCCGCTTGTTAAGCCTGCACATGAGCAGATCTCTTCTCTTCTTCAGACCCAGAAACAATATGTGTGATCATAGTTGGGGGGAGCAGTGCTAGGCACTCCTTATAAGCATCTTCACAGTTCAGGGTTGGACAGTGCCCAAGTAGGAGTTTTGTCCTCGTGACCCTCAGGCCCCCATCAAGAGAGAGAGGGAGAGAGGGAGAGGGAGAATGAGCACACTACCTTACCTCCACCAGTTTTGAAGCCAGGTACATAGAGATGGTAGTACTTTTGTAAAACATCATGGACATTCCGGCCAGGGACCCTGTATTATTAAGAAACAAGCCAATCACTTTCTTGGTACTGTTCCACATGGGACTCTATAGAAGCATAATTAAGACAAATGGGCACAAGCCTTGGGGCATGGAGTTGGATGCACAATGTAACAGCACTGTTTAAAACTGCTCTATCTGAAGTCAACGCGGCCATGACTCCCAACCTTTTATAGGGAAGAAAGAAACGGGCGGTTTACAATTTTTAATTATGCAGGCTACACATTGCCCCCCCAGCAAGCTGGGTACTCATTATAGGGAAGAAAGAAAAAGAAGTAGGATAAGCAAACACCATCAGTAGCCCTGCTGGATCTGGCCAAAGACTCTCGTCATCCAGCACCCTTTCCTCCAAATAAACCAACCAAATACTCTGGGAAGCCCAAAAGGAAGACAAAAGAGTGCAAGAGCATTTTGTACTGTTGATCCGCAGCAAGAGCTATTCAATATATGCAGTCTCTGATCCTGAAGCCGTCATAAAGCCTCCAAGTTTGGTAGCCATAACTAGCCTAATTCTTCCAGAATTTGTCCAGCTGCCTACTTTTAAAGCCACCTATGTTGGAACCACTTTCCACATCTTACGGTAGCCACCTGCCATTACTTGTGGCAGCAAATTCCAAAAACCTAATTATACACTGCACAAAAGCATTTCCCCTTTTTCTGTTTGACTCTCCCACAGTTTGGCTTTGGTGGATGAGTCTGTCTTCTTGTCTCCTGTGCAAGAGACAAATTTACCCTTTATACATCTCCACTATGGGGAGGCCAAGTGTCCGAAAACATGCTATCTACACAGAGGGACCCAGGGTCAACCCCTCTTATCTCCAGGTGGAGCCAGAAAAAAAAAACCCACTCAGACAGCCATCGTCATCAGCATTGACAATATTGGACTAGACAAGCCAATAGTCCAACTCAGTAGAAGACCTTCTTTTGTGCCTGCACTGCTTTCTATGTTTCGTCTTTATGCACGTTCTCTCTCCCCCACCCCCAAATTTAAAAGCCTTAAAGTGTGGCATTGTTTTCTCATAACATGACTGTTATACTGTTTCCTTGTTTTAATTCCAGCACTCTGAAAACATTTTCTTCCTGTTTTTGACCTTCATCTGCATGACAATATCCTTTTAAAGGTGTGGTGACCAGCATATTTTAAGAGGCGTTATGATGACCATCCCATCCCCCGGTCCTATCATCCATCTTTCATCTTCATTCTTGTGAGGGAATCTCTCTCTCTCTTAGGTCACATTTACCACTATTTCCCAGGATATTTCATCTCCCTGTCTCTGCCAAGTTGCGTTGAAACTTATTTTCATAGGGGATGTGAGAATATATTTAAATTTTAGGAATTGGTTTTCAAGGCAATAAATGAAAGAGCTAAGATATGCCTTAAAAATAGCGTTTTTATCAACATCTGATTTGAAGCTATGCCATTGGACAACTAAAGAATTAATTTCAAATTTATTAACAGCAACAAGATTTGGTAGGCAGGATTTGGGAAACAAAGTATGGTTTTCAATTAAATGAATGATATGAAGAGGTTTGGAATATAGCTATTAATGATGTTAACATGTAATGCCAAAGTTTAAAAAGGATTAATAAATAAGCATATTTTTACAGATATTTCGTATCAATAAAGGGGAAGAGATGTGTATAATAAATAAGCATATTTTTACAGATATTTGGGGAGAATTTGTGAATTTTGTATCAATAAAGGGGAAGAGATCTTCATAAGAGTCAATGCAGTTTTGGAAGAGGAATTGGGCTCCATAAAAGGAGAGGGAAAATCTGTTGTATCTCCAAATGTTTCTGGTTGGGGACAGCACATTTAATATTATTGTTTTTGTTGTTTTGTGTTATCAAGTTTTAAAAAGATTTTTATGTGTAATTAGGCAATAAAAATAAAAATGTAAAAAAAAAGGTATCTGCCAAGCAGGATGGGTTGGATTTAAATCAAACTGATTTAAATCATTATCTAATTCAAAAATATTGAATTTTGATGATTTTAATCCATCTGACTTTTTTTAAAGCACTAATTTTTCTCCCCCCTGCTGCCAGGGTTTTTTCTTGTCCCCGCGTCTTGTGTAAATGTTTCAAAGCCAAAAAGCACTTTCAGCCTTTCGCTCAGCTCACAGAAGTAAAAGCATCACAAGCATTTCATCCACGACAACCTTGCGGTCTCTACAACAGAATGTTCGTGTCCACAGTACATTACCACCAACAGAGGTTTCCTCATTGTCTCACTACCATAAAATCTACACAGGTTTTCTAAATAAAGCACCAAAGCTTCTGATTTCAAAGTGCCTACTGCTCAGCCAAATGCACAGGAAGTAGCAGCCGTTGGCAATATCATGGGGGAAATGCAGATTTACCTGCAATGAGTGCATGAAGTTCATCGTCCAGATTCCGTACCCAGCGGAGGAAACAGCTTGTACCCTACAATTTGAGGATAATCATGGCAACATTATAAGATGACACTGCACAATAATCAAGAACGCTGCCAATAAACATTTATTAAACATTTAATAAAGTAAATGAAACCCTCTAATTATAGCTCCAGCCCCAATGACTACTGTCTTAGAAGCTTTCCAGGAGCATAGATAACTTAATATAAATGTGGTATGGAGAGATAGACAAAAAGGGCATTCTTAAAAAGGAGCAAAACAGGCTCAAAAATAATCTACATAGATACAATGGCTTTAAAGCAAACTGCAACGTCCTTCTCTAAACATGTTGCATAGCATAACGATTAGCTGGTTAAAAAAAGTTTGAAGCCCCCTTCCAATTCGCATCAACTTGAAAACACTATTATGGATCATTTATTTTCAGAAATGCTCCACATAACACAGAATGAGGTACAAAGAATTTAGGGCTTTACCAATTCAGATTGTAGGTTTATAAGTGGAGATTAATGCTTTTCCAGTAAGAAATTTGCTGCATGTAGAAAATCAGTGCTTCAAGGGGAAGGGCACACAATAGCCTTTTTTCTGGACTCCTTAAAAACATGCAAGGAGCCTTTCTTATGAGCAAATACAGAAAGATAAGCAAACTGCTTATCTTTAGCTCATCTGAAGTTCTAGAGATCAGAAATTCTGCCACCTCAGGTCTATCTGAACAATGTCCTTAACAGGTAAGACCAGGCTGTTCAGGGTCCTAGTTGATATACTGGAGTATTTTCATTAGGCAATCCTTCTAAAGCATATTGGACCTAAAACTGGTATACAGAGATATCTGGGAATTCACCTTACTGTAGTCCTGAGTGTACACAAGAGAGATGAGGTTGCTATCATGGTTTGCTAGTGTATTCAAGCTTTCTTCTTTATTCATATCAGTGCTGCACACTTTAAGAAGTGTTGCACTGGAAACTTGCTGATCAGCAAAAATGTGTTAGTCCAGCAATCTACCATAACTGCATGAGGGGAAGATCCATGCATTGCATTACATGGAATGGTGTGGAAATGATCATGGGAGAGGCAACAACCAACTCAAGCAATAAATGCATGGTGGGTGGAAGACAAACTGTAGTGAACAGTTTAAGACTCAAGACTTCTCTCTGTTGTGGAATCTAAGGTAAAGGTAAAGGTTCCCCTTGACAATTTTTGTCCAGTCGTGTTCGACTCTAGGGGGCGGTGCTCATCCCCGTTTCCAAGCCATAGAGCCAGCGTTTTGTCCAAAGACAATCTTTCCGTGGTCACATGGCCAGTGCGACTTAGACATGGAACGCTGTTACCTTCCCACCAAGGTGGTCCCTATTGATCTACTTGCATTTGCATGCTTTCAAACTGCTAGGTTGGCGGGAGCTGGGACAAGTGACGGGAGCTCACTCCATCGCGGGGATTCAATCTTACGACTGCTGGTCTTCTGACCCTGCAGCACAGGCTTCTGCGGTTTAGCCCACAGCGCCACCACGTCCCAAGTAGGCTTAGCTTGGAAATACAATATATATTAGCCTGTGTTAGGTTGTGGAATCTACACGACAGCAAATATGGACTCTTATATCGTGGCCTTGGGACTTCTAGTCCACTGACAAGACTGCAAAGCCACGTAACACTTCTGCTGAGATGTGAAGTGGGTAGGATGTTTATGCACATGGACTTGCTTGCCCATCCATCCATCCGTCCGTCTGTCTGTAGTGTAGATATTTATCTACACTTATATGGCCCCCATCAAGTTTTCAAGTTTCTCTCTTAAGTTACAGAGCAGTGGTGTCCCATTATAATTAAACCATCACCAGGCAAAGCATAATCAAATAAATAATCTCAGAACTGCAGAGCTGGAAGGGGCCCCATGGATCATTGAGTCCAGCCCCCATCAGGGAAGCACAGAGGGGAACTGAACTCCCAGCTTCTGGATCTGCAGGCAGATACATAAACCACTAAGCTATCCTGTGATATCCTGCACCACCACTCTTCAGGAAAGACATATATTTTGTGACCAAACAAGCCAAATGTCCATTAATGCACAATAAAAAGAGAAGCTTCATTTATCTATAAAGCAGGCCGTTGTGGTAGACTGAGGTGGCAGAATTCTCCCTCATTCACTGAAAATCAACTTAACTAAACCTATTAATGCTCACAATTTAATTTCTTGAAGAACATTCTGCAAAAAAAAGATGTCCAACATAAATACAAGGTGGAGATACTGTGGCTCAGGTCCTAGAACAATAAAGATATTCATTCCCTCTTAGTGGCTGTGCTGCTACAAAAGATTAATTGCAGAATAATTAAGTGCTTACTTTTTTAACCTCTGAATACTTAAAAACTTACTTTGTATATACTGACAAATGACCCCAGAAAAGCCCCGAGCTGGAAATTTTCTTTGTTGTAGAAGAGGGAGAGCAGCCGGGAAGGTTTCGTAAACAGATGCCGGAATGCTGATGGGATTCGAAGGCAACACTGGATCAAGTAACCAACACTAAACATCCTAATGAAGCCCTAGAGAAGGTATTAAGAATGTGACATTTAGAGAGAGGGAGGCAGAGCAAATAAAAGGGGGGGGGGAAGCAAAGCCAGGGACTCAACAAATAAACGCCACTTTGACAGAAAGCCTGGGAGAGGTTTGCTTTGCAAATAGTCACTGAAGCATCTTGGAACCTTAACTTTTGATCTCCCTTGGGAAAAATATTTGGGGGCAGTCTTTCATTCCCAAGGTTTCTGGAGTGTGACCAAGATCCTTTTGCAATAATTACATTTCTATCACATCCTTCCTCTTAAGGAATTCAAGCTAACCTCTATGTCACCCTCCTCCACTTGTCAACACAACAATCCTGTGGAGTTGGTTAGCAGAAAAGTGCCATCCAACCCAACACCACCGAGCCATTGTGGCCAAGTGGGAATCTGAAACTCAGTACTAGTACAACAAATTAAGTTCCAAAACACACTGGCTGTTATTCAAACCAGTGCTTGGAAAGATTACTTTGGAAAAGTTACCAGCTGGGGGATTCTGGGACCTTGGAAAATTGTCCTTAAAAGTTAACATTCCAAGGTCTGATTCAAACAGTTGCCCCCAATTCTCAAAGCCAGAATTTATGTCTTCCCTAAATATACCCTTAAACCAAATCTAGAATATTAGAGTTGAGGGGGCTCCCTTCCCTGCATGTTCTTATTGAAATAAGGACAAATACTGACATCCCACAATCACTTCTTGCGCTGAATTATAGTATTTGATGGGGTGGGAGGGGGCAACGGTTTAGCTACTTTTTGAACTGCATGCTGGACTTACCAGGTCCATTATGATCCAGCATGACTCTACAGTCATGCCCCACTTAATGATCACTTTTTGAACTGCATGCTGGACTTACCAGGCCCATGACTCTACAGTCGTGCCCCGCTTAATGATCACCCCACATTATGACGAATCCGCTTTACGATGATCTTTTTGCGATCGCAATTGTGATCGCAAAATGATCTAAATGGGGGAATTTTGCTTAGCGATGATCGGTTCCCTGATTCAGGAACTGATTTTCACTTTACGACAATCAAAAACAGCTGATCGTTGGGTCCCTGTTGTGTTTACGGGCGGATTCCTCGCTATACAGGCAGTGAAAATGGCCACCGTATGGAGGGTCTTCGCTGGACTCTGAGTTTTTACCCCATTGGAACGCATTGAACGGGTTTCAATGCGTTTCAATGGGGTTTTTAATTTCGCTTTACCATGTTTTCACTTAACGGTGATTTTCCTGGAACGGATTACCGTCGTTAAGCGAGGCACCACTGTACTTATATTCTCAAGACAGGTCAAGAATCAGGGAATTACTAATGGATACTTGGAAATGATAAATCCTCTCTCTCTCTCAGAACATTAGCGTAATGTATATAGAAAGGCACAGCTCATCTTACTTTTTGTCATTTAAAATCACTCAGTGAATCAAGTGCTCCCCACTCAGTTGCAGCATGGAGAGAAGAAAATAATGTGATAGGGAAAGTATTATGCCTCTCATTCAAGCATCTAGAAGAATGAGCCAAGTGAATTTGGAACGTGAAGATCCTTGTGACACTATGAACACTATATCCAGTATCTCACTTGCTCAATTCCTGGGTTCTTTCAACAACCACTTTGCAATATGTCTGGAGTATGAAGCAAAAGGAAGGCCTGCATGCCGAACTGTTAAATATTGCTCAGCCAACATTAATGGTCAGCTATTTGTTTCTCTTGGTAGCCTCCTGCATCTTTGGGGTTTCAGGAAAGGCGATATGAACCACAGACTGTGAAAGCTAAAAAACAACTGGACCAAAGGACAATCTAGTCCAGTTTTCCCAACTGGAAAATGTGTAATATATGGAAATAATGCTATCTATTGGTGGCAGCCTGTGAGGGTAAGGTCCTTCTCCCTCCTCCCCACCCCCCAGCACAGCTCAGAAACGTGATCTGAGCAGTCATGATCACATCTATCTGCAAATTCAGACACTTCTGCTCTGTCCAACGTCACCATCCAATTCTAGTATCTCCACATTACTTGCAAACATGTTCACAGCATGTTTCAGCTCCCTCAGGCTATTTATTTGTCTTTTTCAATTATATGATTTGTAAGATATGCTTCACTGATAGATATCAGGGTGGGATAAAATAAATAAAAATTGTACTAAAAGAATCTTTCACAATGGAAACACGTTATACTAATTTAATAATTTCAAAAATGTTCTAGAACATGTCGGCCAGAATCCTGTTATTTATGCCTGTCAGTGTTAGATCCAATGACATAAATCTCAGTGGCAAAGTTATGAAGCTGGTTTTTGCATCTGCCATGTCATTTGGCTCACAGAGAGAAAAACAAGAAGTGACGTTTTAACAAATAGTAATTTACCAATGAGATTTATTCCATTTGACTTCTGCCAACATTTGTTAAATAATCACCTTTGGGGTTTTAAGAATTCTATTAGAAGCCAGCAAACTGAAGCACTAGGGAGCAAGATATTACCTCAATAGGTGCCAAACATCTGAGTGAAAAGCCAGATTTTATCCTGGTACCAAAATAAAGCCAAATCAATTCCAGACCAGCCTGCACGGGGAGCTCATTCGACATCTTGAATGCTATAGCCAAGAAAGCCCTCGGTACATCTTCTTATCCTATTTCTGTTGAACTACCACCAAGAAAGTCTCTTCTAACCTCCAAGTCCTAGGGAACATTATATTATGAGTTTCCAGCATAAGACTGAAATCCAGGACTAGAATCAGTCTTTTCTTGCTGTGTACCATTTACTCTAAATGGTTCAGGGCATGGAAACAAGTAAAATACAGCTCATCCATAAGCAAAACCACATAGTAATGGAGAGGGCAAAATAACTCCAAGGTTACTAATCTTAAGGAAATTTCCTCCTTAAACCCAAATACAAATGCAAAAAATTCATACTGTCGCTCCAAATGTACTAGGTAACTTTCAGTTTATTAGAATATACAGCATACACAAGTCCCATGCAATCAAAGGGGGGAAATGTGTAACCGATTGCTCAGGCTTATAAATTTTAGGTTGGCCTTAATTATCTCTGGATTTAGCCAATCTGTCTGGCTAATGTTTTGCTTCTTCTGTTTATATCCAGTTTTCTTAGCCAAAGCTTATGAAATGGCTTACAAGCAGGAATTGTTCCAAGACTGACCATTTTCACTGTCTGAACTAGAGGAGTTTGTTTGTGAAATGTAGTCACTAGAAACCAACGAAATAATACAGATTTCATTTCCCCAGTCTTCCAAGTCTAAGTTACTGAAACAGTGTGCAAGGGGATAGCAATGATAATTTAAAAAATAATCTTAGAACTGCAGAGCTGGTAGGGACTGACACTATGGGATCATTGAGTCCCGGCTCTGTCAAGGAGGAATAGTGGGGAATCGAACTCCCAACCTCTGGCTCTGCAGCCAGACACCTAAACCACTGAGTGATGATAAGGTTTATTCCCAGTGAAGACAAAACAAAAGACCTGTTGCAGATTATGGCACTGTGCTTACTACAGAAAGTGGAAAACTAGACAAAAGCAATGCACAAATAGGTATGATGATGGGAAGACAAGCTCTTTGGCAGGAACAGAAAGTATGACAATATAAAATGTTGTCAGCAGCTATCCTTTTTAAGATGAAAAAAAGCAAAACCAACCTTTCATAAAGAAAATTGCAAAAACATGTAAGGCCTTCCCTTAAAAAATAGCTTCTCCTGATTCTGTCCAGAGATCAATCTTAGCATACATGTCAGTTTCTGAAAAATCTCAAACCACACACATCAAACCAGGGAGGGGGGAGGGGGAAGGACACCCAGATTACTAAATTTTGCTTCTGCATAACTAATATACTAGAGGCTCATATGTATAATCCAGACTGCCACCAGTATCACGGTTCATTTTTCTTTTGTCTGACCCAACTTCTGCAATATTTTAAGAAGGATCTACAGTGGGTTTTTTTAAAAAAGAACTGGACATGTTAATATAGCAGATGAGACCTTAGTCTCAATACCTAACTACGCAAGAACACTGCTTTTTTTGTTTCCAAGAACCAGAGCTTGGAAATATTTCATTAAAAATATATTTGTTGTTCCAATTTGATAGTTCTTTTCGGCACTGCATTAAACATTCATTGTCTTCATGGTTAAAATCTTTTTTGCACTGTTTGCGAAGACCGGTAAGCATTTCGCTTACCGATCTTCGCAAAACGAAACCCGACGATCAGCTGTTAGGCAGACAAAATGGCCGCCGGAAGCCCGGAAATGGCCCAAAATGGCCGCACGCAGCGTTTTCGCGCCCTCGTTAAGCGAGGGGAGGGCGCGAAAATGGCTGCCGGCCATTAAGAAGCATTGCTGAACGGTGAGTATTCGGCCCATTTGGAACGCATTAAACCATGTTTAATGAGTTCCAATGGAATTCCCTGCCTCCTTCAACGATGCTTCAGCATAGCGAAGGTTAATCCGGAACGGGATTGGTGTATACAGGATTGGTGCATCACCTGCAAGCACCCAGGGTCGTGTATCTTCCAATAGTTTCTATTTTCTCTCTTTGTGCCAAAGATAAAAAATGACATGTCAATCCTGTTGTGAATGTATATGTTCTTAGATATCTATGTTTGCCTGCTGTATTAAAGTCACAGAACGACATCCAACATCACCGGAACAGACTTCATGGCTGCACCGGACCTTTTCCTTCCTTCTTGGTTCCTTGTAATGCCAGACACTTCCCCAAATCTGCTCCAGAGGACATTGACGGAGTACATATGGTCAAAGACAGTGGGCAGGAATCTGTTCCACCAGTGGTGTCTATTCTGCTGGAGGAGGGAATTCTAGTGGAATGTTTAATTTAATGAGTTCCAATGGAATTCCCTGCCTCCTTCAACGATGCTTCAGCATAGCGAAGGTTAATCCGGAACGGGATTGGTGTATACAGGATTGGTGCATCACCTGCAAGCACCCAGGGTCGTGTATCTTCCAATAGTTTCTATTTTCTCTCTTTGTGCCAAAGATAAAAAATGACATGTCAATCCTGTTGTGAATGTATATGTTCTTAGATATCTATGTTTGCCTGCTGTATTAAAGTCACAGAACGACATCCAACATCACCGGAACAGACTTCATGGCTGCACCGGACCTTTTCCTTCCTTCTTGGTTCCTTGTAATGCCAGACGCTTCCCCAAATCTGCTCCAGAGGACGTTGACGGAGTACATACAGTGGGGTCTCGACTTACGAACGGTTCGACATACGAACGTTTCGACTTACGAACCGCTCTCATAGGAATATATGGACTCGACTTACGAACTTAGATTCGAGTTATGAACTCTTTTTTTTTCCTTTTTTTAAAAGCTAAGTCATCTTAGGTTAGAAGGAAAAAAGAAAAGATATCCCCCTCTAGTGGCAGAAGGCGGAATAGCAGCTTCCCATTAGTTTCTATGGACGAAAAGAGCAGATACGGATTAAATGGTTTTCAATGCATTCCTATGGGAAATGCAGATTCGACTTAAGAACTTTTCGACCTGAGAACTGCCTTCCAATACGGATTAAGTTCGTAAGTCGAGACCCCACTGTATGGTCAAAGACAGTGGGGAGGAATCTGTTCCACTAGTGGTGTCTATTCTGCTGGAGGAGGGAATTCTAGTGGAAAACAATGGCTATGTCTGCATCATTGTTTTCTTGCACGTTTTCCTCTATGTTCATTAATGTTCTGAAACCTATCCTTATGTCCCCAGGTGGCTTGTGTTCCTGCAAAAAGCTGCTCTTCTAGATCTTCCGACTTCCCAGTTGGTGCAATTTGCTACACAAGGTGTTTGATACATGGCTGTTGGAGAAAGCAGGACAGACTAGCTCAGCCTAAATACTAAAACTGTATCAAAACATGCAGACAACTGAGCTGCACCTTGGCTTTCACATGCTGTTTTTCCAGATTTGTCACTCAATTAATGTGAAAATCTGAGGGGGGGGGGAACATATCATGGCCAATTAAACAGCAGACATTTCCCTTAAAAGTTGCCTTGCCCCATACATGTTAAATTTCCAAAAAGGAAATCTAAGCAGGTGCTCCCACCTGTGGCCAATCTAATTCCAGCCAAAACAATCTCCCCACCAACCTTACTCTTCCAAAGGAAAGAAAACACACACCGATCATATTCTAGGGGGAGCATCATCTATATCAATGGACATGGAGGGCCCCTCCCTTTGGGTAACAACTGTGGACTTTCTCCCATTACCCTTAAAATAAATTTACAGCCCGAGTCCAAAAAATCTACCCCAATGTGCCAAAGAGGCACAGCTGTATGGGCGCTGCCGAGCGCAGCACATTCCCGGCACTTGAGTTGGGGGAACGGCTGCAAGTGGGATCTGTTACACCGTGCTGTGGGTAATTCAATTATTCAAGACTCTCAGAGATTCACTTTTCACTCTCTTCAAGACCTGATGGCCATAGACACTGAAGGAACGCTTCTTCAAACACACAAGGGAATGGCGGTCGCCACGTAAAGAGAAACTTGCCAAAGCAGGCATGCTGGGAGGATCATTGTTAATGAAGTTTGACAGGAATGAGATGCCGCATAAGCCCTCCGGCATGGGGAGGCGATATCCTCACGCATTCACTTCTATGTTCCTTCCACACTTCTTCTTGATGCTTTTTAAAAATAAGAACATAAGAATTGCTTTACTGGATCACACTTAATGTGTCCAAGCATGCACCGAAAGGGCAGGAATGTGGCACATTATCCTATTCTCTCTACATGAAGCTTCTACCTAAGATTGGGAAAGTTACATTTTTGGATTAAAACTCCTAACTAGAGAAGATTCTGGTACAGTTATGAAAGTAACTTTTCCAAGAACTGGGTTTTATTTAGCTATCGTTAGCCCCTTTCAAACTATATTTTCTGCCACGGACAGATCATTTCCCCTAAACTGGGTTCACTTCTGCTTTGCAAGAATTTAGAGGAACATAAACAGAATCAGCCCTGGAGGGGGAAGGAAAGGTTTTAAGCTGGTGGGAGAGAAGGCAAATCCAGATACTTTAGCCTGTACCAATCCTTAAGAGTCACCATTTCTCAAACCCTGGTGCTTGCCCCAAACTTATGACAGTACAGTGGGGTCTTGACTTGAGAACTTAAATAAGAAAAGAATTGCTTTACTGGATCACACTTAATGTGTCCAAGCATGCACCGAAAGGACAGGAATGTGGCACATTATCCTGTGATGTAGCTTCTCTCCACATGAAGCTTCTACCTAAGATTGGGAAAGTTACATTTTTGGATTATAACTCCTAACTAGAGAAGATTCTGGTACAGTTATGAAAGTAACTTTTCCAAGAACTGGATTTTATTTAGCTATCGTTAGCCACTTTCAAACTATATTTTCTGCCACGGACAGAAACCCCTGAACTGGTTTCACTTCTGCTTTGCAAGAATTTAGAGGAACTTAAACAGAACTTGAACAAAGCCCTTGGAACAATCAGCCCTGGAGGGGGAAGGAAAGATTTGTGAGACACCAGTTTTAAGCTGGTGGAAGAGAAGGCAAATCCAGATACTTTAGCCTGTACCAATCCTTAAGAGTCACCGTTTGTCAAACCCTGGTGCTTGCCCCAAACTTATGACAGTAGCTTTTTAAAGACAAAGTAGGCAGTTATCTTAAGTCAAGACCCCACTGTAGCTTTTTAAAAACAAAGTAGGCAGTTTAGCCCCAATACATCAGATATGTAATTTAAAATCCCACAAATTGAACAGAATTATACAAAAGCCTGAATCATCCCTTTCAGTCAATACAACTAGATAACTTTCAAGATGAGGAGTGAATAACACTGCATCTGGGCCTGGTTTTCTTCCTGCTAAGATCCTCCAGAGACCACACAGATCCCCCCAAATGCAAAAAAACCCGAACACCAACACAACAACAAAACCCCACCCTCCTCTGCTAAAAGATGAAAACAGACGGGGCTAGAAGTCCACTTTCAATTTTGAAAAGTGGGTATTTGGGAATGTCTAATTGTGCAGCAAGCCTCCCAGCGAACTGCAGGTGATTCACCAATTTCATTCATTCACTCATTCATTCATCTGGCTACCGAGGCCACTCTAGGTGGTTCACAACATGATAAAAACAAAAAAACACTTTAAAAAAATAATGAATAATAATACAAAAAAACAAAATTAAACAGACTAATCCACATACACAAAAACCAACATCATTCAACTTAAAAGGTGAATCAGCACTCCTAGAGGCTTCCAGGAGCTGCAGTTCTCATTCTTCGGGGGAGCAGGGGGCTGAAGGACCAGAAATATAGCCTTGATTACTTTCCTTTGCCCACCCCTGCTACTGATAGCATAGCATGAACAAGTGACATACCCTGTTTGCCTGAAAATAAGCCCTAGTATGATTTTCCAGGATGCTTGTAATATAAGCCCTACCCCCAAAATAAGCCCCAGTTAAGTGAAACTCCACCCACCACTCTTGTGCAGCAACCAGAAGGTGATGTATTTGAATAAATGTAGATTGTTGTACATGAAAAAAATAAAACATCCCCTGAAAATAAGCCCTAATGTGCTTTTTGAAGCAAAACTTAGTATAAGACCCTGTCTTATTTTCAGAGAAACACAGTAGCATATTATGCACAGAGAACAGGAACCTGTCCCACTGCATACTGCCCCATACAAATTCTATCCAAAAGGTAACAAAAGTGAGAGATCCTGAGCCACTGTACCCTTCCATGGACACAAGTGCATATGTATATTGGGCCTTTTCAGTGGTGGCCCCTAGTCTAAAATAAGTTACTAACTGAGATATACAAGATTCCTTTCCTCCTTATGTTCAGGAAACTAGTAAAAACAGAAGTATTCAAAGCTGCCTTCAGATGCTGCCCAGATGCTGTTAATTTTAATTCTTTCATCTTTCTTCCTGTATGGATTTTAGACCACTACTTGTGAAAAACCATATTTTGTGCATTTTGTTATGTGGGTTTTACGTTTTAACCTGTAAACGGGACCCCAAACAGGAAACTGTCTGCTATCTCCTTGTAACTTCTACAGCCAGCTTCTGTCTACAATATAACTTAGTAGCTCTCTATCAGTGAATACCTGATTATTGTGTTTGTGGGGAGGGGCATCACTTACTTTAACACAATAGGAGATACAATTATCTTCATAGTGTTTACAACATCTGTGTCTTGGTCCATGTTTGCATCTGAAAAAAAAAGAAACAAATCCTATCAGTTTGAACAACTGCTGCTGGCCTTCTGAGTTCTAATACAGTAGTACAAATGTTCTACTTTCTCAAAATGTATTAAGATTTTTCTCAGGCTACTGACCATCTTTGGAGAAAATATTCTATTCAGATGCCATGGGGGCTGCAGAAATGCTTCTGGGGTGGGTGGATGGTCACAAAAATGCCCTGGGGGTGCTTCAATGACAACCTGTCTAGGGCACAGCTGCCAAAGAAATTTCCCATTTCATTATTTGGCCCCCAAGGACAAGAATGTAGGACCCCAGTGCTCATGTCCCAAAACTTGACAAACCATAGAAAAGTTACTTTCTGAATGGCCATGCTGGCTGGGGAATTATGGGAGCTATAGACACAAAAAAAGTAAGCTCTGCTCCTCCTACAAGGTTTAGGAGGAAGTTTGTATGAATTCTTTACAACTTGTAAGACTTCACTTTCTATCAGCGTTACAGCTGTGCAAATTCAACCATCGCATAGACTTCCAAGAGCCTCCTGGCAGACAGAGAATTTGAAAAAGATAAATACTTTTGGGAAGGCCGTCCAGTTGTTAGACATATCAAGTGGAGTTAGAAGTAAATCAATTTGATACTGGTTCTAGAAATTAGATTTTTCTTGTAGTCAAATATTTGTGGTTTGAGTACAAAATAACATTACCCAGTCTTCGAATTGTGCCAAAAAATGTTTTTGGGAAACCTTTATGTGCTGCAAAAGTATATCAGTTATAAATCATTCATGAGGTCAGTTTGTGTAGCAAAAAACTGTAATGAGGATGTGATCAAGTTACAGACATTTAGACTTCATTATATCTGAAAGGAAACATATGGAAGTGAAACTTGATAGAGGATTAGGATTAAGAACTCAATGGTTTTTCAGGCATAGACAAGTGGGACCTTAGAAATACCAAAGGAAGTTCATTCTCTTATTTGTTGGTCATTCAAGCCTTTTCAGGAAAGCTCTGTAGGGAACCGTTTTTGTAAGTAGGGCTACTGACTGCATTGCTCAGATTTAGCTCTGCTCTTGTGTGAATCTCAGCTGAATTATAGTGCAACCTTCTCATCGTGGACCAAATCAGTCATACCAATAAGAGCTCTTCATAACCAAGATTCTTGGAAATGGAAGAAGAAAACCATCTGGAGGCTGGAAAAGTACCAAATGATGGTATCATAGCAAAGGGAGAAAGTCTTGTAGGGAAGATCAGAGAGGATCAGACAAGGACTGGCTTCAGTCCTACCACACATGATATCCTGGTACTGCTTACAATTACATACAAAACAGGCACTAGAAATCTGGAAAGAAAGATGGGTGGCAGCAAATCCCAGATGTCTTACTATGTCCCATGCTGGTAGCTTTAGGTGGCTGCCATATTCTGCACTCCACTTTAGAGGCACCAGAGTCCACGGGAAGTATTGAAATGTCTAGCTCAGCAGAGGTAGGGGGCGCAAGAGTTCAAACTGGTCCTATCCTACTTGGGACTCTGATCTGACTTTCATTATAAGCGACTTACTGCTGTAGGACAGAACTGCTCTGTATCCAGACTCATTACTCCCACTTGGCCACAAATCTGTTCAACTGATGACAGGCTGGACTACCTTCCTTGTGACTTATTCTCCTCACGACTACTCTACCGGATGACTCACAGCTTTCGTCCTCTTTTCCATCTAAATCCAAGGAAGCTGCTGAGTTGTAAACCAGTTTCTGATGCCGGTAACTGGATGAGCTGATTTTAGACAAACTGATGCTTAAACCAGACAAACAGATGTGCTCCACATAATCTGAAAGGGAAAATAGGCGATAGGGATTCAACTGGATTTAGATGGGGTTACACTTGTCTCGAAAACTCAAGACTCACAGTTGAACCTGGATGCTCAGCTTCTGGCAGCAGATACTGTAAGGTTAATGTGGCAATGACATCTTTCTCTCGAGATGTCAGATTTGGCCATGGTGGTACATGTCTTAAATACCTCCTTTTTGGACTAATATTTACACTCTGTTTGGGGCTACTTTTCAAAAGCATGTAGAAATTTCAGCCGGTCTGTTGGACAATTTATTTGTTTACTAACTTACCGTGCATTAAGATCACCCACTAATACAAGTTCTCTAAGCAATAAATAACTGTATTTAAATTATACAACCTGTTCTTTTTGTTGCTCTTCCTTGCCTTGAGCAATGTAGTATAAAAGGAGGACTTTAAATAAGTATATGTCATACAAAAGTTTTTATACAAACTGCCTACTGTTCCAACAATCAAAAACAGCACAAAACATTGTAAAACATTACAATGAGGAACAATTGCAAAAGTGAAAACAATTAATTGCTCCAGGCAAAACAATCAAATAGCTTATTTGAATTTGCAGTCTCTTACTGCTACTAGAAAGGCAGTGGCTCTCATATTCTATTGCCATTTTCTGTTTGCTAAGCATAAATAAGTGGATGAATGTAAATGATAAGTGCTATAAAGCTATTATTTACAGCTGTGGTTGAAAAAAAAATCTGTGGTTCTGATTATTCTGCATTTCTAAATCTGTAAAGCCAAAGGAATTTGTTAGTTGATATTTACAGAAATATCTGAAATAAAGCAAAAGCACAATAAAAGTGCATGCAACTGATATGAATAATTAAAATTTTGCACTCACACTTTATCCACGAATTTCTTCGTTGCAGCAATGATATTCATTCGCTGTGTTATTTCTTCACAATGTCTTCTTTTTCTCTCTTTTTGCAGATATGCTGCTTCGGGTGCAAATGAATGTGTGGGGATTTCTTCTTTACCTACTATGAACCTGCAAGGAGAAGAAAAAATCCACTGATGGTAATGAAGCGAGACTTTTGGGAAGTATGCACAGAAACAAATGTAGGACCCTTTTGTTTTAAATCTGCATTTTGCATTTGCCTATGGGAAACTTGTGTTATTTTAAAGTGAATAGCGAGTGGGTAGCTCAGCGAGTTATGTATTTGGCTGAGGACCCAGAGGCTGGCAGTTCGATTCCTCGCTGGGCATCCTGGGAGAAAAGCCAGCCTGGGTGGCCTTGAGGAAGCTGCACAGTCCTAGAATTGCCCCCAGAAGAAGGGAAGGGTGGATCCAGAAATATCTGAAATAAAGCAAAAGCACAATAAAAGTGCATGCAACTGATATGAATAATTAAAATTTTGCACTCACACTTTATCCACGAATTTCTTCGTTGCAGCAATGATATTCATTCGCTGTGTTATTTCTTCACAATGTCTTCTTTTTCTCTCTTTTTGCAGATATGCTGCTTCGGGTGCAAATGAATGTGTGGGGATTTCTTCTTTACCTACTATGAACCTGCAAGGAGAAGAAAAAATCCACTGATGGTAATGAAGCGAGACTTTTGGGAAGTATGCACAGAAACAAATGTAGGACCCTTTTGTTTTAAATCTGCATTTTGCATTTGCCTATGGGAAACTTGTGTTATTTTAAGGTGTATAGCATTCTTTTTGAGTGGACAGCTCAGCGAGTTAGGTATTTGGCTGAGGAGCCAGAGGCTGGCAGTTCGATTCCTCGCTGGGCCTCCTGGGAGAAAAGACAGCCTGGGTGGCCTTAGGGAAGCTGCACAGTCCTAGAATTGCCCCCAGAAGAAGAGAAGGGTGGACCCCTTTTGAATACTCCGTACCTACTCTTAAGTCAAGACCCCACTGTACTCTGTACCTAGAAAGTCGTGCAAAGCATCACCATAAGTCTGAATGGACTTGAGAGCATGTAATTATTATTAGCATCCTTTTCACCTGGTATTATGGTTACAAAGAACAAACAGCATCATAATGCATCTACGGAATCATGCGCTTTGCCTTACAAATGTCAAAGAAAATCAGACTCCCAATTGGAATGGATATAAAACAAATTGTAGGAATATTTTTGAAAGTTAGCAAAAGGCTGACCATCGCACCCGTGATACACGACTTAAATAATTCCTTCTTGCATATCTGTTAAAGGTATAGATGCAACTGTGTACTCTGATATCCAGTGCCACTGGAATTGGGACTTTTTTGACCTCTTCTTCATTCTGTAGACTCCTGCAATGCCAGAACACCTCCAGGGGATTTCTCCACCATCTGGAGAAGGGTGTTAAAATGAATGTAGCCTGCAGAAAGGAGGTAGGGCCTCTCATTCTGGCACAAGGTGTGATATCTGCTGATAAGAAGCATTGGGTCTTGACTTTCATTTCTTCCCCTGAAGGTTATATAACATTTCACTTGGTCCGGCCTGATTCACCAAGGGTTAACAAGAAATCACACTATGTTGGTTTACTTACTTCAGCGCTGAGAATGTAAACCCTTTCAAGCCATCCTTGCATCTGAAATACAAACCAAACCATTGGGAAGTTGTTAATTTGGCTGTACTCAAACTAAAAGACGCAGTTCCACAACAGAAATGATTTATACCTGTGAGTCTTTAAAAATCAGAATAATAACACAGGGCTCCAGCAACTTATGTAAGGATCAGAACCAACATGTCAGCAGATGTCATTATTTTGTTCAAATTTTGTTGATACAACTTCTATGGCAACATGTGCAAAACAAACCGGGCTATGCGGAATTCATTCCAAATGATAGAAAAGCAGCTTAAGTATGCTTTATACTGTATGAGAAATGCCTGCAGCACAACAATCGGAGAAAGATTCTTTGGTTTCAATTTTTACACTTGCCAATGTGTTTTGCCATTTTGCCAGCAGATGTCCCTAATCAGCAGTAATTTGAAGAGCAATTATGCATACCAAAAGGCCACCGAACAAGTAAATTTACAGTTTAGATAGACAGATGACAGCTGGTCATCCTAGTCAAGCTCTAAGGATAGCTTTTCATAAAACAATTGCTACCGCACTACAGCTACCTCATTGATAATAAAAGATGTTTCATATTATACTTTTCCTTAAAGGACACAGAAGGAGCACCTTTCCTAAAAGACAGTATGCAAATTAATTTCATACCTAATAAATACCTAGTAAGGGAATGATCAAGTCAATGCAAAAAAGATAATACTGTAACATTTTTAGTTAGAGTGTTAAACATATTGTATTACATGTATGGTATACAAGAACTTGGACAAAAATACAGATACAAACCACACTATTATAGGTCACATAAACCTCACTCAGTATAGAACTAAATGAGATGCCAGCTTCACAGTTAGACATTTTTTTTCTAACACAGATATATTCCTTTGAAGCTGCCATTCTTGTGTTTACTTCCCAATCATAATGCAGAAATAAGCTCATTTGCTAATTATGGAACTTTGGAAACCTAAGACAAGGATAAACAAATGTCTTTTTCATCTTAAAGGAGCTCAGCTCATAATGACATGCGAACTGTATCTATATCAAGGTAAAACGAAGCACAGCAGGGTTTTAAGTGTAAAAATGCAGCTCTTCACACAATGCATTCAATCTCTAGATCAAGAGAGTTCTAGCAGAGTTTTTTACAACTCTATTCCCAAGGATGGAAAAGACCAGTATTCCCCAACCAAGGGGTTGTGACCCCCCCCAAGAGGGTTGCAGAGTGTTTTACGGGGGATTGTGGGTTGCCTTATACATGTCGTAGGCCTTGTTAAATAATTTCTTCCTTGACCTTTCAGAGCAAGATATTAAAATTAGGATAGATGTGTATGTATGAGAAATAGGCCATTTTGGGGAAGAAAGATGCCTCTACTTTCTGAGAAGGGATGACTTTACCCTATTAAAATGCCTTTTTATGCAAATATGTTGGCGGGGTTGCAGGTTATTTGGCTATGATAAAAAGGGGCCGTGACTTGGAAAAGGTTGGGGACCACTGTTCTACACAGACCACAGGTTTTAATCCCATACATTGTGCTAATAGCAAAGGATTTTTAAAAAACAAAATCTAGAAAGGAGAGTGCCTGGAGGAAATCCGACCTCATGCCACCACATCTCCTATTTTATCTTAAGACACATTTCCAAAGAAGCTGGCATTAGTTTGGGGCTTTCAGCCAAGTACATGAGGACATAAATAGATGGCATTTAAGGTGGGACGCTGTGAGAGTTGGAGCTATTGGTATGTCCCATTCACATGGCCTCACACAGAATGCATCAGATCCCATTCCTACACAAAAGGGAACCTATTTCAATCAATCAATGCTCATGCCTGTTTGTTGCAAAGGCTGTAACTTAAGAGAAGAGTAAACCTGTCACAAGCCTGCCTGGAGTGCATTCCTGCCATCTGGATAAAAACTAAATATAGGTTTTCTCTACAATTAAATTTTCAAGCAAATAGCTCTGGGAATTACACGTCAATGAAGAGACCAGGGATCCTTAATAATGAACAGTCAGCCACCAAACCACGATTTCCGGGATTGTTTAAAGGAAAACTATAATGCTAAATCCCACAGTAAGCAGTTTTCATTTGCTACATCTATAGGTATGTTCTAACAATGTGCTGCTATCAGATTTTTGATAACTCTTAGCTTATATCATGATTTTTCACCCTCAGAGACTCATCAGCTGTTTACGGTTATCACCATCACTGTTTCACTGCTCAGACTATTTGGCCTTTTCTGTGATAAATGTGTGTATTTTCTTCTACAGCTGCACATAAATAAAACCAGAAAAACACAGAAAACACTTAAGAAATCATTTGGGGGATGGGGGTGGGAGAATTATGGCTTGATCTCTCAGCAGTTAGAGCAAGAGCCATAATAATTTTGGTTCAGTTTAAACCTACAAATTCCATTCTATATAAGAGCATAGTCTCATATTTTATTTAAAATCATGCTGATGTAGCATTCTTTCTCACATGAAGTTATGTGCCGCATTCTCTAGCCATTAGGATCAAATCTACTGGGTGTTTTTTAAGGAAATTATCTGTGGCAAGTAACTAGCCATCCTACTATGCTATTTTGGAGAAAGCTAAAACACTAGTTAAGTGTGTTAGATATTTGGCTGCAGAGTCTGTGTTTGGGGGTTTGATTCCTTATTGTGAGTCCCATGAGAAGGGCCAGCCTGTGTAGTCTTGGAGAAGCTGACAGTCCCAGGATTGACCCAGAAAAAAGAAATGGCAAACTAACTTAACGGGCGCTCTGTCTAGCGATGAAATCGCTTAGTAACGACTTTTTCGGAGCGTTTTTACGCTTCATTTAGCAATGGTCCCTATGGGCGATTTTCGCTTAGCGATGGTTGGGACCATGCTTCGCATAGCGATTAAATTTTGGGTCCCCTGTTTCTCTTAACGATGGTTTAAACAGCCTCAAGTTTGCTGTTTTTTAAATGTTTTTCTGTTATTTATAAAGTTACAGTTTACTGTTTAAAATGTTTGAAATCATAAAGTGCACTTAATAAACCCTTTGTTAGCCAAATTTGACTTTGTTCTGACTCTTTTTTAATTTGTTGTTGTATTTCCCCCCCATTGAAATGCATTGAATAGGTTTCAATGCATTTCAATTGGGGAACCGCATTTCGCTTAGCGATGTTTCCTATGGCGATTTTTGCTTAAGGACGGCAATTTGTTCCTATTGGAATGGATTATCCGGTTTTCAATGCATTTCAATGGGAAACCGCGTTTCACTTAGCGATGAAATCGCTTAGCAGCGATTTTTTCAGAACAAATTAACATCGCTAAGCGAGGCACCACTGTACTTCTGAGTACTCTCTATCTAGAAAGCCTGGAAAGGGTCACAATAAGTTAGAATTTACTTGAAATAATTATGAAAGGAATGGTGTAATACACACTTGCAATGTAACCTGAAATATCATAAGGGTGGATGATATTTACTAGAGAAAGCTACCATTTGACCTCCTATGGGTCCGGATGATACAGAAAGAAACATAAACATTCCCAAAACTGTGGCCAAATGTGAGTTCCAGGGTGTAGAAAGCTACCATTTGACCTCCTATGGGTCTGGATGATACAGAAAGAAACATAAACATCCCCAAACCTGTGGCCAAATGTGAGTTCCAGGGAGTTTTTTTGTTTTGTTTTTTTGTTAAAAGTAAGTTTCAAAACAGGAGTTGCAAAGTTTTAGATTCCACCTATGGTACCCAGTCTGATGAAAACCTGCTTAAGGTCAAAAGCTAGCTTATGCCTGTGATCTTTTTAGTGGCCTAGTAAACATACTGCTCCCCTTGCCTTTGAAGGACCACTTGGTGTGTGAGGTGTTTGTTTTTACTTATTTTTTTTTAAATGTTGCATCTACTCATAAGTTTGCTACTGATACTCCAAACACCTGAAAAGTATGCAAACTCATCTATGTACAAGTCACACTCATATTCGGCAGCAACTCCCCACGTCTTGACGGCTGACTTTGTGAATGACAAGGTGAGACCTCCAGGTAACATATGCAGGTGAAGTAGGTAGCTACTATTCTCTGAAGTATCCACACCAATCTCAAGGTGAGACCTCCAGGTAACATATGCAGATGAAGTAGCTACTGTTCTCTGAAGTATCCACACCAATCCATACCAGCAAAATAAAAGAGTGGGTTATTTGCTATTGCTGTTGCTGTTCTTCTACTGGAGGCTGGATATCATCATGACTACTCTGGATTTGCATATTTTAACTCTAAAGAAACATGTTGTGTTGCATTAAAACTTATCCCCTAACTTCTTCCACCAACAAGCTGATCTTGTCTTCCTTGTGCTCCTTTTCCCATTTACTTTTATCCTGAATGATCGGCTGTAACAATCTTGACCTTTTATTTCTCATATGATCAAGTATTCTGGTTTTCTCTCTCTCTCTTTTTACTTTATTTATGATTCTTAATTCGTTCACTTTTGTCCTTTGCCCATACCCTCTTGATCCAACAGATTCTTAGTATCCTTCATAAATTTCACATTTCATACACTCCGTTTAAACAACAAAAAACACAATATATCTATATTAAAGTCCATATTTCCATGCCATTCAGTAAGTATGAATACGTTCTCATACCCAGTTTTAAATGAGATACTAAAAAATCACATAGCTGTAGGATTCTGTGAACCGTGAAGATAATCTTAGTTCATGTTATTGCTCTAAGAGTAATTATTGTCCAATTCATGTTTCTTACATCGCAACAGTAAGCAGGGCTAAGCAAGGTGACAGAAGTGGTTGGAGGATAAGAAACATAATTAGAACAACCCAAATGATTGGAGCAAGCAAGCAGGCAGGCAGGCAAGCTTTACTAACATAATATAGAAAAGGGTGACTACCGTAGTTAATTGGCAGAGCAGGGCAGGGAATACAACAGCAATTAGAAAAACAAGAATTTTACCACCACCACCCCCCAAAAAATGTCAGCCAAGCCAGTCCAATTCAGAAGTGTTGGGTGGTGGAGGATGGGAATATTCTAGTCCTCTATTACAAACAA